AACTGTTTGGTGACTGCGTGACTCCTAAACTGGCAGGACACTTTTACCATTCAAATTCAACAGCATGGGCTTCACAGCAGAGGATGGCTTGTTGAAGGCACTGGTTGGGCTGTTCTCTTGAGGATGAGTAAGACGGTTTTGGAGAAAGTGCCTTTCATGTGGGGTCAGGATCAGAGAGGACTGCAGAGGCCTCTTCCTCAGTGGGATCTCCCTCCCTTGCTGCCACAGGCTTCGACTCAACCCAGCAACGAGTCACACATGGTGACTAAGCTGATTAAGCCCAGGCAGAGAAGGAAGAACAGCAAGGGATCAGAGATGGAGGAATCTTTGGACTCTGCCTGGTCCCCAGTCTGGAGTCAGAAGGGGAACAAAACAGGGGCAGCTTAGAGGTCTCTCATGATTCTTGGGCCACTTTCTCAGACTCCTCCGGTCTGTGGATTCCCTGCAAACCCAGCTTCTGCCTTGTACAAAGGGGCTGTGCTTTCCCTGGTATTGTTTCTCTCACAGTGAAAACCCTTGTGCTCTTTCTTCCCCATACCCTCTGCTAGGGAATGTCCAGTTACACAAACACTGTGTCTTTAGGGAGACTGATTCACTGATCATCCACATCATTTCACCTGCCCTTGACATGGTGTTCTCTTACCCACTTGGCTATGCAAACCCCCTTAGAAGGGCCCCAGTATTGCTCATGATGAAGCAGATGGGGTTTCTAAGCAGCTTAAGTTGTCTCTTTAAGGACTTGTAGAAGCAGGTGTTAGAGCCCTTGGGTTTCAGGCAGCTGAGGTATTGTGTAGATGTTCTCTGCATGTTTTCTGTTATAAATGCTATCGTGGTAAGAGGTTTGAAACCTTCTTTTTCTCTCCTAAAGCAGCCTGAAAACTAGCATTCGTAATAGGAAAGGTAAGACTGTTTTTGTTTCCCCAGTGATTCTGGAAACTAGGGCCCTAGCACGTGCCTTCATCTGGCTGTGGGGAGAGAGCAGGTGGTTTTCACCTGAATTAGAACCCCCTTTAATCTCATTCAAGGCTGTGTAAGTGAAGAGGTGAATTACATCCAAACCTGAGACTCCTGAGGTGCCCTTGAAGTATTGGACCCTTTTACAGCCAAAATCCTTTGAGGTGGGGGGAAGCTTGCATTTCTGACATTATTAAAGTGGACATTGTTAATTACATGTGAGGTTGGATTACTACATGGCATGCAGTGAGTTCTTATTGTTAATCCATCAGAAGTAGATGAAATGCAACTTTTGCTTTATTAACAATGACCTCCTGGAGGGACTCTCCCCTGTGGTTGAAAGGAAATATGCTGAGGGAAGAAATAAATAAATAATAATGTGATTAAATGAGATGTATTAAGGCATGTTTTCCATCTCTCTCTCCTGATTCTGGGCCTTGATACAAATCTCATTCAATGTATTCAGGTATGCTGTGTGTTACTGGGCAATAGCCTTGCTTGTGCTGGTTTTACAAGCCATCAGTTGTATTAGAAGTTCACCTGATAGCCATATTGACAGCTACTTCAACCTGACACAAAATTATTCAGAATAACTGGAAAGAAAATACCAAGTGTCAATATGGTTTAGTAATTCCACACTCAGCTGCCCAACTTCTCTTTATTCTGTCCTCTCTGATTTTGCAGGTCCCTAGAACTAGAAAAGAGGAAGGGTTGAATGCACAGTGTCAGTGCATTTTCCAAGTGAGACTGCCTACCTGATTAGAGAGTAATGCTCAAATAGCTCAGGCATTTTGGCCTTTAAAAATCTCTCAAGAGTACAGGATCATGCATAATTTTTATTCCCCCTGCTGCTCTCAATCAGGTAGTGTTTTGTTTATTGGAGAGGTGTGCGTGTTCATATGGGTATGGTTTTATTAGTTTACTCTTAGTCTAGTAATAAATGTATCTTGCATAATAAATATCTCTAAGTACTACATGTTACTGCTGGGCTGGTGCAGTGATGTAACATCACAGCCTTGATAACCCTTATGGATTTTATTTCCCCTCGGACATCTCACAGTAATTTGTAGAGTTTTTTTCAGGTTCCAGCCCCAGGACTCACATGAACATATGCAAACCGTGCTATTTGTTACACTGCATTTGGCTCTGGCTGCCAGTTTGATAGGGGAAAACTGGGAAATCTAACCCTGCTTTATGATTGATATATTTTAAAAAGAATCAGAAAGCAGGTTAAAAAAGCATTTAAGAGTGTATTGGTTTTGAGATATTTCAAAGGTAATCTCCTACCTTTAGGGAGTGTGATTATTTTTCAGTATCTGAGGTTTGCTATCTCATTACTCAGTGACAGGAAAAGCTGTTGCCCCTCGTGCAGGCCCTAGTTTCCGTCCTGAGTGCCATGCAGAGATTAGAGGTCTGCAGGTTGGCTTTCAAGCCCTGCAGGAACCAGCTAAATGCAGTTATCTTTAGACAAGTGCAGATAGC